CCTGACACGGGGTCGGCGCCTCCTGCGTCAGGGCGCCTGACACGGGGTCGGCGCCTCCTGTGTCAGGCTCACTATAAACGGCCCTGGCTAAATGGATTCGGGTTTAAGGTTTCAGGGACTTAATGATTTCATGCACACAAACGCCGCAACATTAAAACCCTGCAGCCCTTAACGCTCTAAATGCTCAGTCGTAGAAACGTGGAACCTTAAAACCCTAAAACTTCTGGGTGCAAATTGATAAGTTTCGAGATACAACCCTGACAATAGCAGGTTCTTGAATCGCGAGGTTGGTCCATAGACTACCTTTAGAACAGCTGAACCCTCAAGGGAACAAAGGAATAAAGCCCCAGAGCCGCAGAGCCCTGAATGTGATCTTGATCCGGGAATGCGCGGATTTGTGGATATTTGTGAGCTCTAAAATCAATGTCCCAGGAGTAACATGGGGGTTTAGGCTTCGGGATTGAGCTCTCTTCTTGCCCATCTTACTGACATCCTGAAATTCTAACCATCGCACGCGTTTTCCGAAACGCTCCATGAGCTCAAGAGTCGGCACACTACTATTGCCTTAGAGAGTCGGGCCTGTCTGTCCACCATTGCGTTCCACTCTGGGGCGTTTAGGGTCTGGGGCCCAAGGGTGGACGAAACCATGACAAGCCTACTCCCTATCACGTTTAGCCTTCCACATTCCACCGCCGCAGGACAGACGCAGGCAAGGGCCGTCTCCCTTGTAAACCTTAGACTGTTTCGCAACTCTAGAATCTTTCAAGCCCTAAGCCCCGGAAGCCCAAGCAAGGCAGGTCTTGCCATGAGTGCTATCTCGAGGATTGAAACGCGGTGAGCGACGGGGCCGCCCTCAATCGGCATGTGCGTCCTGCCAGGTTACAACCGCACATGAAACTGCGTCCTGGATAATGTGAAGACTTAAACCATCGTGCGATGAGACACCAAATCCTCTATTGCCAATCGACGAGGTGAATGCTTGTCCAGCAAGGTGCTTGTAACGTTCCAAGCTCCCCGCAGCTATGGATGAGATTGCACGTTCAGGCGAAGGTTTGGTGCTTAAGGCTTAGAGCCCCAGTCGTCGCATCAAAACGCAGCAACACAATCAGTCCCAAACCCAAAGAGACCTAGTTTTTTGCTCTAATCACCGAACTTCGGGCTTCGCACATCTTCCGAGCTTCAGCTCCAAAGTTCTTGGCATTTGTGGGTCGCCGGTTAGGTGCACTGCAGATTTGGCGTGGGTTCGTCGTGGGTTGTGGAGCACTGTGGCATCGGCAGGTTGAAGGAGTCGTGTTGCAGGCGCTACAGAACCTCTTCTAGAAGTGATTCAGACACAGTTCAACCCTGGATCATGGATTCCGCCTTGAGGCCTTGGGCACGAGAACCTTGCGGCATACACCTTTATAGAGTGTAATTAATCCTTAGAAACACTGGAAGCTGGTCCCGGTCCCGGTCGCGATTGCGATGCCTCATGAAACGCAAGGCTTCGGATGAAACACACAAACTTTGTCTAGGAATTAGAGGGTTCGAGGCTTGGGTTTTGGGTTTTATTTATGGCTTGGGCTCTAAGATTCGTTTTCTAAGTCTAGTTCTGCTCAGCACACCACCTGTTACGTTGCATGAGATTTCTGACCTGCCGATGCCAAAGAACCCTGCCCTACATGCACAAAGCGTTGAGCTGCAAGAACACGGGTTTTCTGAGAGGCTTGGACCGTGGGATTTGCTGGTGTGTTGACTGAGGCTTCGCAAGCGCAGCTGGAACTTGCCACTCAAAGTCACGGAAGTTTACAGTCAAGCGATGAGGTTGCAGTTGTGGGTTTTGACTTTTGAGCAGAGGCGACAGGCGACTCAACCTTCAGGGACCGATGTAAGAAAGAGACTGCGAGGACAGATGCTTATCTTCTCCACCCGTTCTCTTTCTGCATCGCCCGACATGGTAGCCGCAATGTGAGCAAGAACAATAAACTATCAAGAAAGTATGCTACGGCAGTCACTCCAACCCCCCCTGAACTCAAAAAAAAAACTGCTGCTAAGCACGCGGCTTCCGCTTTTCGCGTGGCTCGCCATTCACAATCTCTTCGAACCAGGGGACCTGAACGGGTAATCACTTTACTTAGAGGTTCATGGGTAGTTGTAAGTGGGGTTTTAAGTCACCGAAGCAAGGTTATAAGTATAGTTACCCTACTTATAACCCTACATATAACATCCCATGAACCTCCAAGTAGGGCTCCGCAATTTTGGGCATTAAAGCAAGAAGGCCTAGAGACCTAGAAGTGCGAGCCTGGTAGCCATGATCCCGGTTCCGGTCCACAAGGCGTCGGACCACCCAGCCCTCGTCCTGACGGGCAAGGCAGTTTTGGAAGAACTTCGACTCCTCAAGCGCCCAACTCCCCCCAATCCCTGATCCAAGATCCCGAATTCCGCTACTCTTATGCAGATACCAAGATGAAGGAATGAAGGCTTGGGGACATCGTTTGCGGACATCTTGGAACTATGCGAGTCTTGCGGCTGCCACAACCGAGGGACTGACCTGTTGTAAACCCTCAAAACGAGATTCTGACTATCAGACATGTACGACATAGACTTAAAGACACACTCAGTGCTAATCCAGGACTTCCAACTGGGATTCCATCGTATATTCTGTCTGTACCCTGGCCCTCAACCCTGAACCCTTCACCCCAAACCCTGAAATTTTGAGCCCTGAGCCCTGGAGACCTTTTATGAGGCTCACCGGCCTGCTCGATTCTGATGGGCATCACCATGTAACCTCGCACCTTCTTCGAGTGACCGACCTTTCACGGAAGGGGGGGGGGTGGCACTCTTTCGGCCATTGGGGGGGTTTGGGCCTTTTTACGCGGCATCGGGAACTGAAGGAGCCCTTGCGTTGCCTCGCGTAGGGCTTGACCGGCTGCTCGTCAAAAGTATTGGATTTGTTTCGAGTGTAGGTCCCCGTTCTCGTGCTCAGGCAAGGCTTGCGCTGCAAAACGATGCGTCAGTTCTGGCTAGGAGTGCCGATCAAAATGCCTTTTAGCAGCCCAATCCAGCATCCGGCATTACTTGTGTTCAGGGTTTCGGAAGTAAAGTGTGCTTTGGGTGTTTTGCCGAGTCGTTGTTCCTTTGTAAAAAAACATCGTGCTGCTGCCAGCTTTCTTTGATGTTTGATGGACTTCCGAGCAGGACTTCAGGATCTCGGATGCCGAGATTTCACAACTGCGACTTTAGTAAATCCGAACTGTTTGAAGGCTGAGAGTAGAGAGCCTTTGGGGCCTTTAGGGTTTCGGGATTTGGGCTGAAAAAATGCTTGCACTCGAAGGCATCATCATGTCGACGAAGGCATCGATATGCGGAAGACATCACAAGTGTACAACAACACGACTTTCGGCAAACTGGATCAATGTGTTGGCGCTGCCACATGTTGAACCTCTGGAACACAGCAGAGCTTCAGAACAAGCCTTCCACCCTAAGACCCTAAACCTTTTCTCTGTAGTGAGCGCTTCAAGAGTCTCTGATCATGAACGATAGGGGCCTCCTAAAGAACCCCAAAAGCTCTGGCTTGCCGCTACGGGACACCCTACACCTGAGGCCCTAGTTCAGCAATCTGCCTCAACTCGAACAGCTCACGCAGGCCCTCACTGTTTAATATAGCTTTTATGACTAGAAAAGGTTTTGGTGTATATTTTAATATAGCTCCAAGGCGTACTATAGGGGGATGCTACGACTCACTTTCAGTTTTCTATGTATTACCTGTGAACCGTCAGGATCCTTTCCCAACCACGATTTCGAACAGCCTTGATTGTGTCTGGGGGGTGTCTTAATGGTAGGGGGCGCCTTATTTTCGGGGTCCTCCTTGTAGTTATCAGCATCCTACCGTTCAGGGTTCCGTAGAGCTTTTGAAGCTAATCTCCAGGTTTGACACCCATACCACAGGAAATCAGCCGGTGCTGACAGGCTCATTGTGGTGATGGCCAGCAGACTGATTACTCTGGCCCGAATGCTTCTCATCACTGCTAGAGCAACACATGCTTGCCAAATCAAACCTTTAAGGAAATACAGGAAAATCCTCAGTGATGCATGTTAAGCGCAGGGAGCCCTAGCTGAAGGCCAAAGCGGGCCTGATACACCACATCCCCGTTTCCCAGATGCCTGCCGAGCTGGGATGTGGCGCTGGGTCTCCGAATTCTCAGGACCAAGTAAATTTAATTCGTCCACTGCCCGAGAGACACTGAGACCGCACCTCTACTTCATCACTTCTGAAATCCGAATGTTTTCCTATCCAACAGCGAGTTTCAACTCCCAAACTCCAATGGCGCATCGAAGCGGAATACTAGTCCAGGCTTGAAGGCGTCAGAGTTTAGGCTTCCGGCTCTTAACGGCCACCTTCTGCTTCAGGACCCCGAGGCAGCAAGCTGGCCCTGAATGATGACCCTGTTCATCCCTGCCAGCGTGACCTTAATGTAAAGTGCCACAACACACCACGCCGAACGAACCCTTGAATCTGAGTCTGAGTCCTGAACCCCCTTAAACTCCCAAAGGCCTCACCAGCATCTCTGGGGGGACGACTTTGCCCGAGCCGGGCGCGAACCTCTGCCGAGCCCAGGGATCAGGGTGTACTTGGAGT